GCTTGCCCGGTGTAATACCACGATCACACAGAAAACAGGCGTGAAATGGAAGCAATTCCATATTTCGTCTGACGAGTGTAGTGCCGGAGGCTTAATAACAGTCTCTTTCTCTTACCACTCTTTTCTAATAACAAAAGGATAGGAAGGGAAAGTGGATTTGACGGTGGAAGAGACGCATGGTAAGGGGAAATATCCTCTTTATATGCGTTTCTCTTTCCGTGAATTAAGGGTAAGCCACGCATCTGTGCGTGGATATCTATAGGCAGTGGTCTCTTCGCTGTTCTGGCGGATACAGGCGGCCGCTTGGTCGTTTGCCAACCTATATTATAAAAAAAACACTGTATACCATAACTGCAAGTTACAAATACTTCTCATTACACGAACTGGACGAACTCTAGAGAATTTTGCAAAGAGAAATTTAAATAAAGCAATTCTCTACTGAATACCACACGAATATTTTGCATTGTACAGTTTGAAACTACGAGTATTACACGAGAGTGAAATGTAGGAAACTTCAACCGATGTTCATTATGGATATTTGCATTTTTATATTCAAAAGCGCTTACGTAAAGTTTTTTTAACAGATGTACATTTGAAATATATGTACATATTTTCTATCAAGTATACATATTCCTTGAAAAAAAAGGTAGTAAAATAATCTTACATAGATTTTTTTTGCAGTGAAAGCTCGCCTTAAATGAGATCTTACTAACATTATAAATGTGTATGTTTGGATGGATGTTTGTTAGAGTTTGTACTCTAAATTGCTAAAAAGATCTCGATAAAATCTGGCATAGATATAGAGGAGAGTCTGGAAGATCACATAAGCTACTTACTTTTGTTTTTTTTTTTAAATTCTATGCATACGGAGTTTAAAGCCAGCATATTTATTATTGTATACAATTAATAAATATACAGATTTAGTGCGTATGTATTCATTACTTATATTAAAAATGTGATTTTTAAAACTGTCTGTCTGCACGTATTTTTCTGTATTTTTAAGGGACTTTTACTAGGACTTGTGTGAGAGAAACTTATTTTATCATGCTAAGTCAAGAACAGCTAGGACACAAGTAAAATAATAAACAGAATATTATTGAAATCTTTTATTAAATTGATAATTCTTTAGGTTAGAGGTTTATTAACTTAAAAATAATATTAGCACATATAACTTGTATCTTCTAATCCCTCATTGGATTAATTATTGATTACTGCGTCCTCTTACGCCTTCTGGAAATTTTCGTTTAAGTCATATCTTGTTTTGTTAATAGTAACAAATTTTCTTAGACCGAGCACATCTTTGATTAAACTATCGCAAAACTGGTGCACGATTGTCGATTGTTTTGCTGCCAATTCAACTATTTAGTTGCTCAAATAAAAATCGAATAGTGTGCGCATTCCACTCCATATAAGCTCAAAGCAATCAAAGCGAGACTAAAAAGTTGTGCGATAGTTTAGTTTAAGATGTGGGTGCGCTCTTACTGTTTACGATCTTCATTTGTCATACCTTGAATTTACGAGTTGCTTCAAAGATGTTTATCAGCTGATTTCCATCGTCAACTAGCCGACGAAATCTTGGTACATTTTGTTCGAATAATTTTGGTTCATAAGAAACATCGTCTGTATCGAAAACAGTAATGTATTGTCCATCATCTGATTTATAATATGAACTCCCATAATCTTGTTTAAATTTCTGCCCAATAACACTAGTTATAATTATAAATATTATTGTTAGTTTGTACATTTTCTTAAGATGGATTTGTTTAACTGAATATTGTCAACAGAACGATAATTATTTCAAGATAAACTGTACTTTGATCGCTATTGAACTGTGATGTAGAATATATTTGACTAGAAGTGATTATTCAGTAAAAGTTTACAGAAAACATAACCTCAAAATTTTCACGGACAAGAATGAACACATATTTTAACGTCTGTAAATTTTTTTTTCCCTTTAGCACTTGACTTGTAACTAAAGGTCTTGGGTTCGAATACCATTGTACCAATGTGATTTTTCGAATTTTCATATGTACATAATTTACCTGACGTTCTTACGGTGAAGGAAAATATTGTGATGTAACCTGCACATATCGGCGAAGAAATTTAAAGATATGAGTGAAGTCACCCGCAGTGGGCCAACGTGGATGACTATGGCCTAGTCACCCCTTACTTAGGAAAGGCTCCGAGCCCTTCGGTGGGGACGTATAGTAAGCTGGTGATTATGATGACGATGCTAACCATTGTGACACATCTAGTGCAAAGCTTGGTCCATGTGAGGATTGATTAAGAAAAGTCCCGCGACTACTTATTGCATCGTTAAATTTGACCTCAGGTCACACATGTTTTGATAAACTATATGTACTTTTGACTTCATGAATCACGTGTCCGTTTATATTTTATTATCATTGTATTTTTATTGTTGTTAATTAATACGTGATGATTAATTTTCTATTTCAACTCACCGTTTAATAGGTAATTTAAATCTCACCATCGTGTTTTAAAACAACAGTTACGCCATCTAGTTCTATTGTTTGAAACTAATTTGATCAACGTGCTAAAGGAACTGTATTTGAAATTTGAGACCGGAATTTGAGAAGGTGTGCACCTTTGAATAAAATAACTGTTTGAGATTTTCGCAGTCCATTCAATAAACTCATAGGAATCAAAGCGCGACCAAACAGTTCTGCATTAGTTTAGTCAAAGGATTTTTATATCTATTGAATGTTAA